CGGGGGGAGCTGGTCCGGAGCGGCGGCCCCAGGGTGCTGCGCACGGCAGCTGCGTGCGGGGGCTGTGTGAGGGGGACGAAGTTTGGGGGGGGAGGGGGTGCAGGCCTCGATTGAGGGTGCTGCGGGCAGAGGTTGGAGGCACCGACCCTCCACCCCGCGGCTGGGACGTGGTGCGTGGCGCCCGGACACGGGAAGTGAAGGCCCTCAGGGCTGCGGGGGAGCTGAGGGCAGGGGGGTCTGGGCCCAGAGTCACGTACGCCAGGAAGCTGGCCATGGTAATGGGGACGCCTGTGCAGGCCTTGGGATGCCAGTCTGGGTAGCAAATCTGTAATGTCCTGTCTTTCTCCTAGGTGGTGGGACTGGCTTTGTGGGCAGAGCTCTGACCCAGTTGCTGCGGAGCCGTGGGCATGAAGTGACCTATGTCTCTCGACAAGAGGGCAAGGATCGAATCAGCTGGGTATGAGTTGAGGGCGGTCACAGGAGGGAGAACGTGTCAGAGCTGAGGAGCAAGCCTGCTTACCCTGGCCTGCCATGGCATACAGGGAACCTGCATGGGGAATTTGGCTCCTGTGGATGTACTCTTGGGCTCCTGGGTCCTCTGTGGGTCATAGTCATTAGCATGGGTACTGCTGTAGTTCCAAGGAGTAAAACCTTCTCCGTTCATGTTTGTGCTCTGGGCAGTGTCAGGAAGGAACTGACTGGAGTTCTTAGGAGCCCACCCTGCTTGGTCGTTGGGAAGGCTTGAGCAGAGAGGAGGCTGGGTGTGTGATGTCTCTTACCCCTGCCTAGGAAGAGTTGTCCCGCCGTGGACTGCCCCTGTGCGACGCCGTGGTGAACTTGGCTGGTGAAAATGTCCTCAACCCTTTCCGCAGGTAACTTGATCTCCCATAGTGCTGTTGGGACTGGGTGAAGGCAAGACAGCCCAGTGTTGTCAGAGAACGTGGAAGGGATCTGGGGAGGAAACAGGGTGTCCAGGAAGCACTTGGGTTACCTAACTGTTGACATCTGCGTCCTCGGGTATCCAAAAATATTTCTGTGGGCCTGTTAAGTTCTGGAAGACCTTTGGAAGACAGGTTCCCTTCTGGATTGACAGTTGGAGGCCAGGCAAAGTAGTTCCACGTTTCCGAAATGATACTGGATGCCTACGTTTAGATGATGTAAAATCAGAACCAAAGTTTGACTTCTATGAGGGTGTTTTTGGAAATGCCTCCACTGCGTGCTTGGGAAAAATTCACCGCACCCGGCTTTGGTGTCCAGCTCCTCTGCTGCCTTTGTGTCCTAGGGCAGTCCAAAACCCACAGCCTTCTGTGGGAAGTGGAGAGCCACCATCTCCCAAAGTCCCCATGCATTTAGGTAGTAAGATCCCATGTCCTCCCCCTGCTCTGGGGTGGGGAGGTGGGATTCATGTGACCTCTCCTGTGCTTGTGAGCAGGTATCTGCCAGGGCGCCCCTTGGTGCTGTTGTTTCCTGGGATGTCCTTGCGCGGAGTATAATCGGTGGCTCTCCCTTTCCCAGATGGGGTGACGCCTTCTGCAGGGAAGTCATCAGCAGCCGGGTTGAGACCACCAAGACCTTGGCCAAAGCCATTGCCGATGCTGAACAGCCACCCCGTGCTTGGGTCCTCGTCACCGGCGTAGGTATTGGTTGGGCCCAGGCAAGGCATGACTCATGCTGACCTGGAGAGGTATACCTCCAGACAGAAACAGACTTCTGGGGGGACGCATGTCTTGCCTTGAAATGCTTGTTACAGTCTTTAAAGCAGCCACAGTTTAGCATCTGTGATGCTCAGTTTTAGAACAAGCGCCTTTCTATGCAACCAGCTCAGTGTCTTCGTTGCTGGTATATTTGGTTCTTGGGGCTGCCTGCTCAACCTGAGTATTAGTGCAGCGGGCTAAACTTGCAGAGCACATTGGTAGTTCCAAAACTTGTCAGCATTCCCATCAGAGAGACCCTCTGCTGTTCATATGAGGATGTCCCTGACAGAGTGATCGAGTTCTGGGCTCCTGGAGGCAAGAAAGAGGGTTTGTTTCGGGGGGGGAGGCATGGCTGGTGTCATGATTCAACCCTGACTCCCTTTCTGCTGTTACACCCACAGGCTATTACCGCCCTAGCCCCACAGCTGAGTATACTGAGGACAGTCCTGGGGGGGATTTTGACTTCTTCTCGCGCCTGGTGAGCTCCTGGGAGGCTGCAGCTCTCATCCCTGGGAGCCCAGCTCGTGGTGTTGTGGTGAGATCTGGTGAGATGGGGCATCATGCCTGTTCAGGGTGGCTCTGCTTTGGTGCTGGGGCAAGTAGGGGAAGAGGAGGGAGAAGGACATGAGGTCTTGTGCCTTTCCTTGTTGGGGTGCTGTTCCAGTCCGACCTAAGGATTGCCTCCTGGTTGTAGGTCTGAGGGTGAAGGGGTCTTTTGTTCTTTGTGGGGTGGAGGGGTGTTCCTGGTCTCACTCTGTTCTCCCCACAGGGGTAGTGTTGGGCCGAGATGGTGGTGCAATCTCGCAGATGATCTGGCCTTTCCGTCTGGGACTAGGAGGCCCCTTGGGCTCTGGGCTGCAGCCCTTCCCATGGATCCACATTCGGGACCTGGCTGGAATCGTGTGTCATGCCCTGGAGAGTGAGTGCCTGCAAGGCGTCCTCAATGGTGTCTCCCCATCCTCCCATGCCACCTCCAATGGCACCTTTGCTCAGGAGCTTGCTGCAGCCCTGGGGCGCCCAGCCCTGCTGCCAGTGCCTGCTTGGGCTGTGCGGGCTGTCTTTGGGGCAGAGCGGGCCGTCATGCTGTTGGAGGGCCAAAGGGTGTTGCCAAAACACACCCTGGAGAGCGGCTACCATTTCATCTTCCCTGACCTGTCTGGAGCTCTGAAGGACATTGTGGCTTGAGGGCTCCTTGGTTGAGCTGGGTTGGGCCCTGATTTTGTGATCTCCCTGGCTCACATGCCTTCCCCTGGGTGAAAGAGGGTAGCCCTGCCCCTTGTTGACACTTCTCCATCCCCATACAGAGAGGGTGAGCAGTCTTTTCCCTTTCTGTCTCCCTTTGTGTATCCCCAGTTTAGAAGTCGTCCCTCTTTATTGCCATCCGCAGTCTCCACATTACGTGCTTTTGGGGAAGGGCACAAGCCCCTCTGAGGATTGTGACTGCTTGTGACTTTCCACAGTGTGCGTGTGAGCTGCTTGCAGAGCAGCTGGGGGGTGTAATGTCTGCTCCCCTGAGAGACAGGGGTGGCAGCAGGAAAGAGGTGTTCAGGTATTGTAATTCTCTTCAATGTTACTGGAAGTTCCTCTTCTTGTTTTTCCCCATGTCTTTCCCCCATGGTCACATAGAGACCTAGTTATGGTCTTCTGCTTTGCCTTTCTCGGTCTCATAGGGAATGGACTTGTGGTTGTGGGAGAAGATCCATCTTGAGGGTGCGCACAGGGTGCTGGATGTGGATGGCTTGGAGACTTTGCCATCTCCTTTTTTGTGGTGGCTCTCTGCTGGTACCAAGTTGCTGTGTCAGAACCTGCAGCTGAGCCTAGGCCCAAGAGTTGCACCTAAGGTTGCATAACCCTAATGCTGTGGTGAGGATGAAGGAGAACACTGCCTTGCCAGCCTGTAGAGACAAGGGTGGCAGTGGGACTGTTGCCTCTGGGCTGCTCTTGTGGCTTTGGGTAAGCTACATCTGAGCTTGTCCTGGGGAGAAACTGGGTGGCTTATCTTGGTGTGAGGTAGTGCAAGCTGAGGGACACAGCTGCTGCTTTCCTGTTTTCAGGTTCAATCAACCCTGAAGCTGAGCACCTATCAGAGGCACATGTGCACACACAGGACAAATGACACACAGACAGGCGACACTGATGTGGCTGGTCACACAGACTGCGCCAGCCAAGATGCTGCTGTCAGCAGCACTCACACGTGGGACCCATGGAACACAAGCACAGCCAGCCATGTCCCTTCCCGCTCTGGGGCTGGCAGACTTATGTGACACCTTCAGGATTCACAAGCACCTGCACGCTCAGTCCCTCAAGCACCAGCATGACCCCTGTGTCTGCCCAGCACCCCTACCTGGACCCCAGCCCTATGACCCATCCCACAGGTCCCCTACTCACCGGCTAGTCCGGAGAAATGACAGATGCAGCACTCATACACTAGTCCCAAAGGCACCCTATGCTCGCAGGTACCCCGAGGTACCTTGCCCGCCTGATACCCATGCCTGGACCCGAGGCCTCCTGCTCGCCAGCTGGTCCAGCTTGAAGTTTGCAGGTGGATACCCATGCACACCCCGTGCACACCCAGTTTGTGGGCGATACAGACGCTCTCCTCACCCAGCACCAGGCACATAAGCTGTGAGCTGCTGTCCCACTCCAGCTGCTGGTGTGGAGCCCCTCCCCTCACTCATGTTGGCCACGCAGTAACTGGTTTTGTGGATGTGCAGAGTTACCGCTGCAGTGGCTGTAAGGTGAGACCCCACTGGCTCCAGTAGCTGACACCACAGGCCAGGGTGCCTGCTCCCTCAGTCTGACTTCAGTAGCTGGCACCAAATCCACTCACGCTGATCCCCCCAGTAGCTGGCGCTTAGTCCTTGCAGCACACATGCATGGGATAGTGAGATTACGCAGAGAGAGTTCTAAAAAGATTTAATAAGAAGACAGGACAGGCTGTGGTGGTGAAGTGTAGAGCTCAGCCAGACCAGCACTGACTCGCCCAGGTTTATACCCGACCAGCTTCTTTTGTACGCCTTTTCTCTCTACCCCCTTGTTTGTTGCTCCCAGCTCCCCCTCCCCTGCATGTTCCCTCAGCAGCTGGCATGGTCACACCAACTCCAGCCAACCTCCTGGACACTTGGGTTTGCATCCTTACCAGTTGCAATGTCCTGGTTGCCTATAGCTTCTTGAGACCTCGTCAATTGGTGTGAGGTTTATTTCTAGGTATTGTCTTTGTTAGTGCTAATTGGTCAGGTTTTATGACTCTTGTGTTTGTCTCCCTCCCTTTCCTTATCTTGCCAACGGTAAAAATAAATGTTCTCAGACTTGCTCCACACATCCTTACCAATTAGGGTGACTGATCAGATTTGTTCTCGTCACAACCTCCCGTGTCATGTGTCAGGTTTATCTCTCTATGTTCTTGCTTATGGCTCCTTTGACCAGATAGCTTTAAAAGAGGAGACACGCTCCATGCACGTACCCTGACACTCCCCCAGCTGACCGGTAATATCAGAAGAAGCTGCACCACTCCTCACTCCCATAGAGCCTGAAGGGGCTTCCCTGTGGGCTGCACATATGGGGGCAGGATCCTGACTCCTCTGGGCATTAACCATGGGAGTTTGGGGGGGGGTGGGGGGTGCAAGGGCTGCGGTTGCTGGCCACCCCATCAGAGCAATAGACATGAACATGTTGAGGCACTTAAGATCAGTGACACCTCTGTAAGTGCAGCAGTTCGTGTAGGCAAGTCCATTTGTTTGGCTGCATCTCTCTGGGCACCAGGTCATGGGATGTCTGTGGCCAGGTGGATCCTGCAGTTTTTGTCTCATTCTGGCAGAGCTGAGTGATCTGCACTGGTGACCTGCTTCGGGGTTAGCTCTGCCGACTGCTGAGTCACATCACAGTACCAAAGACAGTTAGGCTTAATTCTTAGTTTTTGGAACCAGTGGTAGTTCTGCACCATTTGTAATGTTACTCCATGTTATACATTCTTTCACAAATTGTAAGACATTGCCGTTTTCCTAATTAAGGTTGGCATTTCCCTTCCTGTACCCCTTCATTCAGTGAACCATGGCTCAGAATTGACTGGGACAATTTTCCGAGATTTTAGGGGCATGTTGTGACTACCCCTCCTATAGATTTCCCAGTTTAACCCAAGTGCCCCTTCTCACAGCTTAAAGAATGGTAAATCAGAAGCTGGAATCCAAGACAAGCATGTACTTCCCAAATTCCCTAATGTCGTCTCCAACCACATATGCACACCCTCCTGCCCGAGACCTGCACGTAGGGAGCATGCGTTGGTTCAACACCCCCGCTATGCATGCACACACATTCACAGAAACACACGGACAGAGACACGCACATCACTCCCAACTGAAACTGGCAGACTACGTACCTGGGGGGTGGGGAGAAAAGCTACCATCAAGGGCAGCTATCATTCAATCCAGTTATTTCCTTTTCAAGTTCTGGTTCTTCAAAGGATGACTTGTAAGACAAATCACAAGGACCTAACAAGGCCAGTAGTAACGATATTTCAGGATACTGGTTTTTCATACTAGGTAACGTGCTAATGTGCCTTCATGATTCACGGGTATTTGGTGAAGGTTAGCGTGGACGGGTATGTACGTTGTTCCTCTTTCTGTACTCCCAAAGCCGTTTCACCTGCAATTTATACCCAACCAGGCCCTTTTACACCCCTTTCTGTCAACGCCCCGTTTCCCCTTCCCCTCTACATCCTTCATAGGTTTGTAAAGCTCTCTCTATTCCCACATCCCTGCCAGCCAGTGTCTGCATCCAGGATCTCCCCTGTTTCACAATGTTAACAGTTACGAAGTCTGTGTTGATCTTCCTGGAAGTGACACCTGTGGTTTCTTGATAGCCCATCAATTAGTGTGAGCGGTGAGGTTTGTTTCTTGTCATTGTCTCCATGTTTGTTTTGTCAGGTTTGTCTTACTTACCATCCCATTTGAGGAGGTCCCTGATCAGATAAAACTGGACTAAACATTCTCACACTCCTACATGCCCTCATCAATTAGCGTGACTGACCGGGTTTGGTTCTCATCACTGCCTTCCTTATTTGTCAGTCAGGTTTGTGTCCCTGTATGTTCTTGTTTATGGCTTTCTCCATTTCTTATTATCCCTTTTTTTTGCATTGAGAAGGTCCTTGAATAGATACCCTTAAAGCAGCAGATACTCTCCTTCTACATAGCCTTGCAGAAGGGACCTGTGTGAGTGAGGCAAGTGAGGGGCTCAGTGCTGGCAGTTGGAGCAGGACCACAGGTCACAGCCTGTGTGCCGGTTGCCGGGGGGCCAAGTGTCTGGGTGTGCGTGGGGTGTGCGTGTGTATTCACCAGCAAACTTCAAGCTAGACAAGCGTCCAGTAGGAGGCCCTGGGTCCGGGCAGGGGTATCAGGTGGGCAGGGGGTCCATGTTGGTATCCGAGGATACCTGTGCCTGTGGGACGAGTGTGTGAGTGCTGCATGTTTGGTGCATCAAGCTGGACGAGCTGGCAAGTAGGGAACCCATAGGGTGGATCAAAGGGCTTAGGTGCAGGGGTGCTGGGCAGTCAGAGGGGTTGTGCTGGTGCTCGAGGAACCCACAAATGTCAGGTGCTTGTGAAGCCTGACTGTGTTGTGTGTGTACCTGCATTAGTAACCTGTCTCTGCCAGCCCCAGAAGAGGAGGGGATGTGGCTCTGTGCTTGTGTGTTACATGGGTCCTGTGGGGGGGTGCTGTTGACGGCAGTGCCTTGGGGCTCTGGCAGTGTGACCGGACATGTCAGTGGCATCATCTGTCTCTGTGTATGTTTCTGTCTGTGTCCGTATGTGTGTCTCCAGGAGAGGTTCTTGGCTTTGCTGCTGGTTGAACCTGCAAAGGGGAAAGCGGCAGCCACATCCCTCAGCCTGGGCAGAGACCCCGAGTCTTCAGGTCCCTGGGCTGGACTCCAGCAGCTGGGAAGGAGGGTCCTGAGCCAGGGCTGCTAGAGGTGACGGCTGCTCCTGACATCCCTTAACAATGGGCTTCACTGGTTAATCCCTGTTTCTGGGACTGATGAGCAAGCTCTGCACGGAGCCCATGAGACTGAGGGCTGTTAGGTACAATGAGTGCTGTGTGACCCTTCTTCGTTGAGAAATGGACAAGCCTCATTTCTGCAAAGTCTGCTGTTAAAACCTATGCGTTTGAGCCCTTTCTCTGCCTGGTGAGTGC